CACATTCTTTCTGTGGCATAAGAGCCTTTTTTACACGGAGATCCTCTTTGGTGCTCTGTTTAGTGCGATTTCTTTCATGTGTCCCGTCTACTTCAGCGCTAGTCATTTCCCCGAAGTACCAATGTGAAGGCACTTTAACTTTAACATCATTGCTGCCATATTTCGGTCATTTCAAAGTTATAACCGCTGTAAGCAGCAAACTTATCAGGTGGATCATCTATGGTCACTCGTCACTTAAATTGCTAATTGTAATAAACCTCTTAACTTATCTCCATTCTCCCAAGTTATCCCGCCATACTTAACAACCCTTGTAGATACTGCATTATTGTTGTCTTTGTTTACCAAAATGTTTTTAAGAAACAACTCAATTCAGAAAACACAGAGGCCGTGACCGCCACAACAGGAACTAGCAGCGTCTACAGATCTCGATTGCACTAGGTCGCAATTGGCAGTGGGCCTTTGTTTTAGTCTCGGGACGCTTCTTTTTTTCGCTACGCGGAAACCCGCCAGGGTGATGCGAGACTACCATTTGTTGAATGGCGCGGTCTCGCGTACTTATCCCAACATGGTAATTTTCAATTTGCATGGTGCCCAATATGCAATGCCCAATATCAATATGGTGGATGGTATAAGAGCTCTGCTACTAGGATCAACAGTACCGTCAGGGTAGGAACAAATACATATGAGCATCCAACAAATGCAACTACAGTTAGCCCTGGCTATAACGGACGCCCAAAATCCGCGGTCCGGTATGAAAAAGAATTAATAAGCAACATTAAGCAACTCTATCATGTGCCATTACCTAATTTAGCTAGGGCTGAAATATCTGGGGTTAGTCAGGGGTACGGATTCTCTGAGACTAGCTTATATACAGCACTGTAACTGCTAAATTAGGTATAGACTAGGTATTTTTAACCTTGGCATCCGGTATAGCCAAAATTATTTGTATGAGGACAGGTGTCAAAAGCCATAGAGATTCCATTTAGTCCGGTATTTGGTGTAGATCTGGTATATCTAGGGTGATTTTGCTGTAGAAAAACCTTCGCCTCTTCTCCCATCCGTTACTGCCGGGTATCCGGTACAAAGAGGTCCAGTATAGCCAGGGCTAACTGTAGGTATATATGTCGAGAATATGTTCGAATGCGGATACCCTCAAACAATTATAACCGCCGGGCGTTCTCATAACAAGTCTGTGCTATAATCACATTACCGTTATACACTCGGTATGGCCGGAGAATCAAATCTTGATCACCAATTGCAAGACTAAACACAATTATACGTACTGGCATTACTCTATGATAAGGAGTTGTGCGTAATCGGCATTGATTAAACACCAACATTTGGTCTGCACTATCGCAGATCCTGACAAGTGTGAATTTTCAGCGACTAGATTAATATTCAGGCTAGGAATCTCTGCCCTAGGGTTCAGGGTTGATGACGTCATGCAGGTTTGTTTGTTTGTTTTAATCATACTGTATTCACTCTATTTAGAGTATGACGGCGTCATGCAGGTGCGGGGTGCGAGTGTTACCACGCCGGCTTTCCCATCTCGCTTCGAACTTTCTCCCACCGTGTACACCACCACCACTATGGCTCTCCCACTGCTATCAAACCAAACCCTCCCACCTGGCGGCCCGCAATTTTCGGTGGCCAACATCAACGAATATTTTTCCTTACCCCCAATTTCTCCCTCGATTGCCGACAATAACCGTCGCTTCTATCCTCCGTGTGCACGTACCGACACCCACCCAACCCAACTCTTTACCGTACGCTACAACGGCTGCACCGTGCCAGGCTACCGCTTTATCCGCACAACCAACCCAAAGCAAATGCTCATGTTTATCGATGGGGCCTGCAGCAACAACGGGACTCCCGAGGCACGCGGAGGTTGCGGTGTCGTTTACAGCAGCACCCACTGGGCTAAAGGGATTTCACACCCCCTGGAGATCGACGGTACTCCGCATACCAGCAATCGTGCTGAACTCCGCGCAGCAATTTTGGCGCTAGGACTTAGGGTGTGGTATGGCGAAGGATTTGATAGTGTCGTACTTGCTTGCGATAGCGAGTATGTCGTCAAGGGCGTCACGGAACGGTTGAACGTATGGGCTCAAAACGGCTGGGAGACTGCTAGAGGCACCGACGTCAAGAACAAAGACTATTGGCAGGCTTTGCTGAACGCCATGAGAGAGCTGGAGAGTCATAGAGTGCTTGTTCAGTTCTGGCAGATTCCCAGGCTCTGGAATGAGGCCGATGAGTACGCGAAGAAGGCCGTGGTGAGTATTAGTGCCTGTTTGATTTCATCCCGATCGTGCTTTGTACGCTGACAACTTTAACCTGGACAGACTGATGAGCGCGAGGGTTCACGGGGACCCATCAGCGACGTCTTATTGGTGGAACGCATGTAGAATATACTATCTATAAAATGTGTGATAATCTGGTTGTGATATTGAGGTCTGCACCACAGTTTGGAACTAGTACATATCTCAATGCTTTTGGATTCAAACTGTCTATTCATTGTTTCCCCAAACGCTGACGGGAACCTATCCAATCTCTTTCCTTAAGCATTGTTCAGTCGCCCTTGCACATTTACCTTTTGACTTCACAAGAGCGCGAGAGGGTGGCCAACAAAACTCAGAGAGTGTACAAACCTCGGCAAGTATGAACTGAGAGTGAAGAGTCTTCATCGGAACGATAGCGGATCAAGCAAGAGCTGATTTCTAGTTCAGTTGGTGACAATCACCAGGTGCCCAAACACTATGTATGTATGTGCTATAAACACCGAGTGAAGGATCGAAACTTGTGGTAATATTTTCTGTAAACCGTTTTGTCCCGGGTTACGCTAGTTTATGTTCATCTATCTGCCAGTCGGTAGTTATGGAAGACCAAGCTATGCATTCGCTTCCCCCGTTAATTCCCAAGTATATACAGCACTGATTTTGCGGAAGATTCGGTCCACGGACTGTACTATCGGTAATAGGCTCCTCCTCCTCCTCCTAGTACCAAATCACCATATCTTCACTCTTCCGGCATGCCATTTCTGCGAGTGTGTTATGTTTTAATGGAGAGCTAACTCAAACGGGGTACCGGACTAGACCGAGATCGGTAGGGTTTGGTCCGCATGAGGACTAGTCTCGGAACACCCTGGCGGGCAGAAAAAAGCGTCCGCCATGTTATATTACACAGCGACCGTCATCATCGACGCGACGTTCACTTTCTTTCTCTTGTTTGATTCTTCGGTTTCCACCCCCCCAGATGTTCTTGAAAATCTTCAATTGTGGGTGCTCTCCAGTCTATGGCAATTCCGTCGACTAGCGGAGGATGTGTGGTTGTACGATCCCTCGGTGGCTAGAGGCGGAAGCTCGTGAACGCACCTACACTTCGATCTCTGCACGGCGACCCCTCAACGCTTTAATCAGTGGCTTGACGGATGTTCTCAACCAAGATGGTGCGGCTTCGCTCTCCTACATACCCTCTCCAACACTTCACCGATATGTTCCTCTGCGCGAACATCGCTTCTGCCTGTCGTTCGAATCAAGGAAAGGGATCCGGCAATTTACACATCTTGGGGTACCGTAGAGATCACGGCACAGGCGACTTTGGATAAGAAGAGCAAAGATGTCTATCAACCGAGCTTTAGGATTTACCGGCTATTCTCCGCTACTACTAGGATTCAACGAGGGAGAACAGCCGGTACATGAGATATGAGAGTGGATCAGCAGAGATAGGTGCTACAGTGAGAGCGTCAAAGGAGAGAAATTGCACGATAGATGTGACAGAGAGAACCAACCCGATAAATTGAGAGCATTCGATTAAAACAGGTTCTAACCCAGCACAGAAGACAGAGGGAGCCACGACAATGGAAATGCCAAGATCCTCGGTGTCAAGAAGGGTTAAGACAGTGGAATGCCAAAGGTACGCATCATCAGGTGAGGCCACGACAACGGGATACCCAAGGTCCTGAACGTCAAGGGGAGCCACAACAGTAGAATGCCCAAGATCTATCAAGACAATGGAATGCCCAATGCCCCCTAAATCGTGAAGAGCCACTTCAAGCTCGAGCACCTGAACGTAATCTGCACGCAAATACGTTTCTTTTTCTAGCTGTTGCACTGTCATCACGAGGAATTATACCCCTAGTGACGTGCTTCCTGTACTTGGGTTGACGTATGCAAATCATGTACAAATACTTGTAAGTCTTAAGCCATACCTTACGCGTTAAAGGTTTCAACTATTGTTGTTATTTCATATTCCTAAAGGAACACAGACCATGGAATGAGATTTTTTTCCTGTATAACATCTTTCAAATCAGAGAGCACTAAACAGAAAACCACTTTCCTGAAAGTGTTTTCTACCTGCGGACAACAGGAGAGATTACTGCGGGTACCTGTGTGTCCAGTTCCCTGAAGGGACACTGACTTAGATCTGAATGAACAGTACAAAGAACAATCACTGAATGAACAGTAACACTCTAAATACGAGTCACGGCTGCAACGGACAGTACAACAAGGTAGACTTCTGGGCTCCTGAGTCCTGATGAACAAGAGTAAGTTCCAAACTTCAATGTTTATAGAACTTGGCGTTTCTTGCACTATGCAATCCTGGTTACCGAAATTAACTAGTCGTTATCTATTACAGGATACCATCGTGATCATTAGTCAAGATAACTAGAGAGTATTTCCTCGTTCTATTAGTATATACCATCCAACGAATATCTTAGAGAATGTGCTTTGATCGATTGAATTGCCCTCAACACTACTCTGCCGGGCTATCCCTACACATGACCTGTAAAAAAACGCATGTTAAGTTTGCAACCTGTGCCTGGTGTTTACAGCACCTTATTTTCGCGTGAGTTTCGAACCCAAGTCGATTTTATGGCACTTGACGGTACAACGCCAATTCTGCTAGTCAAGCTAAGCACCTGCTTCCTCAAGATTGTTCTGGTAACTTGAATCACTAATAATGGAATTGTTGTGTTGGAATATGTTAATCTATATTCATGAGCGCCGGTAGCCCAGTGGTAGAGCGTCCGTCTAGTTTAGGAAGGCCATAGGTTCGACTCCTAGCCAGTCCAATCTTTTCTTGGTCCCTTCATGTGTAAATGACACCTGACGACCAAGTTTTCACTAGGAATAGGTTTCCATTGGGCATGCGCAAAACTGGCTCTGGAACCCGGAACGCCGAGCACCTGTAAATAGGGCAGCGGAAACCAGCCAATTCAGGTTTCTCTCAGGTTTTGTTCGTGTTACTAGTTGTTGGAACAGCGTACAATGACTCTATTGCTGATCTTGATAGCCGGCAAAATCTGAGCAGATAATGAGCATAACAGAAGCAAAGTAGTCGGAATTTGAAACGACAAAAAGAATATCATCTACAGGTTCTGAACCTGCATATGGTGTTTCCAGAACCCGGCAGTTGAAGTGCCGTGTTTTGCCGTCTAAGCTACTGTAGCGGGCGTTGAACTTCATACCGGAGGGTCTGATTACATGTGGAGATGATTCATACCGGGTATACTTACAGCTTTTGAAGTAGATACTGACAATCAGAATTACAGAAGTAATGAAGGATCTGGCTGTAGGTGAAATTGGTATGAATGTCGGTCAAATTAGTATAGAGGCTTGAGAATGAAACTTATTATAAATCTGGAAATGCAGGTTCTCGAATATCGTTTGGGGAAGAGTGGGAGTTTGAACAAGAACATACCGAAGAAGTTATAAGAAATTGTACTAGCTCTGAGTCTAACAGTACCAACTCAGACCTGACGGACCTGGAGGAACTTGAAGATCAGTTGGATGGGAGAACTTCATGATATTGTAGCAGAAATTAAAGTCTATGATTACAGCAATCTACCTTCATACTGCCCTTGATTACGTTTACCAAAAAATATTGCATGCATACTGAACACCGCTCGATTACTGATTACGTATGAAGTTCAAAGCCCGCTACAGTATATGGCCAACTATTTCATCGGCTTGTTTACGCTATTTCTGTCCCATCTGAAGATACTACCGTAAAAGGGTGTTCTAACATAAATATGTACTTTGCACGGTACATCCTCTTTGGTGAAGACTGGAATCACAGTAAGAGCACAAAGTTCACGTGACTCGGGGTTAAGCCCTGTACCCTTACTGCTTTTCTATTACATCGTTTAGCGTTCACCATCATAGTTTTCCGCACGAAGCCTCTGATTCGAATGCGATCGGACCCGTATTGGTCATAATATCAGCTGCACTACCCTGTCTTATGGTTATGGCATCTACCAGAGAGAACAATAGAGCAATAAATCCCACCCGATTGGACGAAAGGGAAATAATTTGTCTCATCTGCAGGTTTCAAGCCTGTTGCCTGGTGTTTTAAATACCGTTCAGCCATTGAGCATTGCTAGTTTCGAACCTGCAGGTGATTTTTGTAGCACCGTGCTTGCCAAATTGAGCTAGGTACTTGTTTCCTCACATATTGCATCGGTGATGAATCTAATATCGGTGTAGATATCCGCCTGCCCAGGCCTCTAACTCTGATCCACTAAGTTGAGCACGTGTAAATTGCCAGCTCTGTCCGCGATAAAAATTTGTTCCGATGTAGAGAGCAATGTAACAATCAGAAAAAAGGATAACCGTAAGTTTTAAACCTAATGTTTACAAAACCAACCGAGATCGCAGGTTTCGAACCTGGATTTTTGAAGCACTGGGCATCTACAGTGCCATACTCTGCTGGAGGAGCTAAGGTATTGGTTTTGAATAGTTGTTGGGTTCCGGGAACATGACTAACTGATACTCGGTTGGACATTTCAGTACCGGGTAGCGAAATGGGTGGGGATTAGTGTGCATCTCTATGCGTACGCAAGATGCTATTATACCGTCAGAAACGAGAGAGCAAAAAAGCGAGCATCACAGGTTTGATATCTACGATATTTGTGTTTTCAGCACCATATCTCAACACAGTTTTCGAACCCGTATCCCACGTTTGAAGCGTCATTCTCTGTCAGCTACGAAACGGGTTCAATACACCCGGTTGAAGGTGTCCCCCACCATATATAATGCATATTGTCCCCGCAATGATCGACAGATGCATTTAAAACGTGCATATCCACTCCAAAGATGGAGATTCGCTGACCGAACTTGCATTTGTTATTACGACACACATTGTGCGTGGTTATTCCGCGCACAATCGACCGATCGTAGCTGAGAGGTGCTGCTGCTCGAGGAATGTATACCCGACGGCTGAAAAAGTCGCATTCAAGCACAATCCCCACCACCATCGTATATTTTTGGGATACTCAGCTAGAATGGTAAGTAACTTAATCTTTGCCGCGGATGTGGCACCAATACACTTGAGATGCAAAATTGGTGCCACTGCGCATGCTATTCCTAACGTATCAGACATGAAACCCTACCTCAGGTATGCATACAGCAACATAAGCAGGAATCCATGCACAGCTAAGATCTTCTACGGCAGCGTTATAACTGCAAGTCGCACTTCTCACATATAAGGTTTGGTTGTCTTGAGTGCGATCTTTAGTTACAACCCTCCCAAAACGCAAATTGCGGTTGTTCCAAATCGATAGCACACTCTCTGATCCTCTCTTTTTTTAGCTTCATAATCCCTTGTATATGCAGCCTAGGCCAACTAAACGCCGCCGGCCTTGAAAATGAGCGGCGAAAACTGGCGGGAAATTCGACTGCTCTCTCTCCTTGTGGATGTGCAACCTTACGATAACGGCACATTCATAGCTCTCAAATCATGCTATGAACTGTTCGGTAAAGGCTACACACCGTATTACTCCAGAACTACGTTTCGGAGTATCGCAACCTAGTGCTTTCCTCTGGTGATGCTGGTTGGGAATATGTATATGCCACACTTTTTCAGCCTCAGTCTCAACATTTGCCACTTCTTTGCGGTTACCGGACATCTCCTTGGGGACCCAGTAGATACCTTTGGTCGTTGCTCTGCAAACTCGACATTCCTAGGATCTCCTATGACCGAGTACGTTGTATCGACCCAAACCTCGATGAAAAAGATGTTCGTCGACTGGCTACAATTCTTTTCGCACTCCATGATCACCCAGGAACCCATCCTACTAGCGATGACACAATAGGACGCTTGATACAAGAACTGAAGCGCAATCCTGTAATTGTGCGACGAGCGGCGGAACGTCTGACTGATTTACGTGTCAAAAATTCACGCCGAGCGGCCGTGGCGATAGTAGCGTACATTGCAACAATTGGTGGGGCCCTAGAACGGTCACTGCATGAGGCCAAACCCTCAATAAACTTACTTCATACAATTGCTTTCCGCCAATTGTACTACTGGTTGTTCCCGGCAATTGTGTTGTCTTGCGTCGCAGGCGGTTTTCCCAGTAACAAAACTTCGATGTCGGCGCTGGAAGATAATGATTTGGCAGAAGTTCTATGTCATGGAAATAAGCAGTTGCAACCTTGGAATGGGAGTACATACTCTTTTGCAGTCGATAGAACCATGGACTCTCGCAAGAGGTGGCTACTGCTTCTCTCATATGGATCTGTAAGCTGCGCCTGGATATTTGCATTTGCTACAAGCTGGATTGCACCCACCCCCGGACTGGAATGTAGAGGGATATTGCAGTTACTGTACTTGGTAGTTTGGACGCTAAACAACCGCCTGAATTGGGGTCTATATAAATCTTTTAGCCCCACAAGAGACGATGCATTCAAAAGATGGTGGAAGTGGGTTATGATTAAGGATTCTGTACTTGGTACGGGGATGTTGATGGTATTACTTACAGCATTTAGAGGTAAGCTTCTAATCTTCCTTGTCTGCGGTTGCGAATAACAGTTGATGAGTGGGTAGGCTGGTTTAACCGTTGTTGGTGCAATTGTGCAGCGGCGTGGTGGGGACAGAGAGCTTTTTTGGATCTCAATATGGCACAGAGGGTTAGGGTACTCGGGCACAGAGTATGCCCATACATAGTTACCGGAGCACTTGTAACCCAAGCGGTTTTGATTGGAGTGATGTTGATTTCAACGAAGCTACCGAAAGAGAGAAAAGATTCAAACGGACACCCCATAGAACAACGCTATAACTTACTGAGTGGAGAGATGGCGCAGCTCCAGGATTATAGAAAAAGTGCCGCCCATCAACAACATGAACCAGGGAGAACCCCGTCAGCCAACCAACTGCAATACGAGCACCCAAAATCATATACCGCACTCGCTACACAACGCAGCCCACGAACACACCCGAAGGAAGAGGAAGCAGGTATACATGAAAGGAGGGATACGGAACGATTGCTAGGCGCGTAATTTCGAAGAAGATGGGGGTGAAGAAGGGGGAGGAACCGGTGGGCACTTGAAATGTAGTGGAGGCATTACCCACAACAGGAAAAGCTAAGATTAGAAGTGGTGGCTTGCAAATACTCCTGTCAAATAAGGCTCAAGCTTCAATAAGTATTACACAGCTTGATACATTATGTACTAGCGAATGTAATGGATATGGAAAAGATTACCATCGATTGTTAAACTGCATAGCAAACGTTCTAGGGTATCACAAGCCATTCTTCTTTCTGGTGTCAGCATGTCTCAAGAACAAGTGAATGATATTTCACGAACGAGATTTGACTGAGCAGATCACGTGACTCTCGAAACCTATAGATGCAAACGGCAGCAAACCGTATCGTAAAATCATAACAAATCTAGGATATATGTAGAAAATATAAAGCTGAGTAGAGATGAAAGGCAAGATACAGGTATATATAATTAATCGATGATAGGGACCACCATATCGAGTGATGTAAACAACACTGTTTGCAGCAGCCGAAGCAACACTACCATGATCTCAGCATCAACATTCCATAGGAAAGGTCGCATCTTTAGCCTTATCACACAATATTTAAGCCAATCCGAGAGTCCCACGCTACAACCACCTAGGAACGAAGTGCTAGATTGTGCCAATTCCTACTTTAGTATCATTGGAACAGAACTATAGTTATATATTTAGAGTATAACAGAAGCCTAGAATGCCATGTGGTTTCAACTTCCGATGTTATTTTTAAGAGTAATCTCGGGCGCTGTTTAGTAATAGGAGTAAGCCGACTCGCTC